CCCCTGACTAAGCTTATACCCATCTCCTCTTGTTCTATCACCCATCACTAACATAAAGAGCCCTTCCCCCCCCTCCCCACCATCCCTTCTCAAGTATTTGTAGGCTGTAATCAGGTCTCCCCTCAGCCTCCTCTTCTCCAGGCTAAACAGCCCCAACTCCCTCAGCAGCTCCCCATAAGTTTTATTTTCCAGCCCCTTGACCAGTTTAGTCGCCCTTCTCTGGACCCGCTCCAGGAGCTCAATATCTCTCTTAAAGCGAGGGGCCCAAACTGGACACAATATTCCAGGTGCGGCCTCACCAGTGCCGAGTACAGGGGCAGGATCACTTCCCTGTTCCTGCTGGTCACACTATTCTTGATACACGCCAGTATCCCATTGGCCTTCTTGGCCACCTGGGCACACTGCTGGCTCATATCAAGCCGGTAGTCAACCAACACCCCCAGGTCCTTCTCTGCCAGGCAGCTCTCCAGCCACTCTCCCCCGAGCCTATAGCGATGCTTGGGGTTTTTATACCCCAAGTGAAGGACTCTGCACTTGGCCTTATTAAAGCTCATGCCATTGGCCTCAGCCCAACGATCCAGTCTGTTCAAATCCCTCTGAAGGGCCTCCCAAGATGAAAGCATCTACTGCAAAAGACCGGGTGCTGATGAATTACTAGTGAGAAGAGGTGACATCACCAACGTTTTTTCCAGCCATTACACAGCCCTAAGGGAATCAAAGACTCTGGAAGTCAGTACCGGATACTCATCCAGCAATCTGTACAAACAGACGAGCATTTTTCTATAGAAAAACAAACTATATGGAGGAAAAGAGTATTTTGGTAATCAGACCTTAGTAACAGAGCTACTTTCACAATCCTGCATTGAAATAAAAACAAGTGACTCCATGAAAATAGAAAAAAAGACCATTTAAAAAAATCCACTTAAATCACAATAATAATAATAATAATAACTGTACATTTAGGATGTTGCTGCTTTTCATTTTGCTCAGCCCTATTTGGCTTTATTATTCCTTCTCAGAACTGACAAAAACATTTTTCCCAGATAATAAACCCAATCGAAACCATAATAAATCAACCTCCAAGACTAGTCAATAATTAATCAATCCCTCTTTTAATGTATTTTGAACAGATCCTCCTGTTCAAAAACCGTTTAGGACTCATCAGTCTCAGTGCAGTGTGAGTCCTGAGACAGCCTGACCCCCCACCCTCCAAAATCACACTGCTTGTGCTAAGAGAAAGAACAACACGGACCGAGCCACCAAGCGTAAGCACACGTAAGCCAACATCTCCAAAGCATCAACTCTTTCTGATGGCTCAACAGGGTTCTGTCCTGTAGCAGCTTTTTTTCTGCACTGGGCCAGGCTGACACCTGTGGCATGCACAGTTTTAACGGTGTGAGAGCTTCAGGTAGCCCCTTTCTCTTTGCCTTTTTGTCAGCATCACAGCCTGACGGCTCTGGCAGAACTTCAGTTCACACGGGTTGCTGCCATTGCCTTTCTGCTTAGCATTTCCTACACAGCTCAGATGCGCCCTACCCCCAGGCTGGTGCCTGTTCTAAAGGTTTTTAAGTTCCCTTTAGCCACTACTTCTATCCATCCAGTCAAAACTCCAAGGATTCTTGGCTAGTTATAAAAACGGACAGAAACGTGTACAACAGAAACTTGCCACAAAACAAGAAACAAAGAGTGTGTCTGTAGGATTATGTTGAGGAATGGATTACAAGCCATGAGATCTGCCCTGTTTATCTTAACAGGAAAGACCAAAACGTTCCACAGAAAACCAGTCTCCGTGACAGATTCATGTAAGACTTCCTCAACTCCATGGAAGAATACATGCCATGTCTTCGTTTGTGAGCGTCAGCTGTTAGAGATGATCCCTATGGTTAAGGCTACCATCGACTAGGAAAACAGCTACCACAGTTTTGTGCTATCATACAGGAGAGAGGTCAAAAACAATGATGGGTCCAGCTCAAGATCGTAACAAATTATACGACCACTGCTTCCAAATTAAACTTTTTCTTTACCCTGCTAACAACAACAACAAAAAGGATGAAAACATTTAATGGGTCCCTGCCATTTGCAGTATTGGGTTATTATTTTCAAGGCTTTACAGTACTCCTTTAAAAACAGCACACTCTGTACAGAGGACAGAGCTTTCGGCAGGACCAACACAGGACTACTGCATCTGTTCCAGAAGAGACAAAGTGAAAAACAACCTTCATAAATTTTCATTTACAATGTAAGAGTCATTCATTCAATCTCGATTCTTTACTGAAATATGATACACACAGAAATTAATATGCTAAGAAAATATAGTAAGATACTTCCATCTTTCTCTTGAGGAGGGGATACCTTATGTAACACATGCTAACCTGCTCATCTATTCTCAGATGCAAATGCCCAGGATGTCTGTCCCAGCCTGGTGATGAAGTCAGTCTATCAACTTGGCTATCATAAAACCAGCACAGAATACACAACAAAGCCAGGCTGTCGGATTCAAGAAAGCAAAGCAAAAAATACAGACTGCAGGTTTTGCAAGAAGACAAAGGAGAGGTACAACAGAGAAAATTTACTCGTGTTAAAAAAAAAAAAGAAAATTAATTCACAGAACATGAGCTGCATTCTAATAAGACTTTTTGTAGAAATATTTATTATTAGTAACGACGGATGTTTATGTAAAGCACTTTTTACTAAGGACTATTTCATGTCTACTAAATGAGTAATTTTCTGAAGTCTGACTCATGACTGATTTGGTTTAAAGTGAAAATGGGAATAGCACTCTGATTCCAAAAACAATTGTCTACACAGAGTTCAATCCAAAGTGATAATTCTGAAACAATTTCAGATTAGAATAGATTTTTTAAAAGGCAATCTTTGCGTAAAAATGATACTAAGAACATATTAAGTTTTAACAAAATGTTATCCTCTCAGTCGTTCCTATCTTTTCTCTAGAGAACCATGTATTTACTTCCTAAACTTAATTTGACGTTTATATACTGTCCTTACAATTATACAGGAGGAGAGCAGGGTTAGGCTGGTTTTGCAGAACACTGAGAAGGAAAATTTTGATTTTATTTTGTTTTGTTTTTTAAAAATTCTCACATCCTGTAGGTCATCTCATAACCCTAAGAGAAAAGGTTTCCTTTAGAGTCTCTTTACAATAGAAATGGACTTTGAATGATACGTATTTCCAGATTTCAATTAATATTTGTTAATACATAATATTGAAATAAATATTACTCTAAATAATCTTCTCACCAAGCCTAATGAGCATTTCCCAACACCTTTTATTTGGATTTGGGAAAGCTGAGTCCCAGACAGAGCGGTATCAGCCTGAAGAAGATGAAAGATGAAGAAGCAAAATTAAGAACATTCCAGTCTTAGCCTCTGAAAATCACCAAAGCTAGCAGAGGAACTCTTTTGCTGTCACACTCAAACTATATAGATTTTTTTTTCTGCTAAGATCTCACATAGACAATTTAATTACGATTTCCTTCATTTCTAGCAGTAATTGTACTCCTCCTGCTGGACAAACAGAAGCAATAACCACAATCCATCTTTCTGACAGTGTATCAATTACAAGAGCTAAGAATACTAGGAAGCAATTTTCTGTTATAAGACCTGAAGCTGGAAGGTTGTATCTCTATCCAAATAGCTTCCTCTATTAGCTTTAAAGCAACCACCCTTTCCTTAGTATACTTAATTTAAAATGTTTGGGTTTTTATTACTTGACTCGTTAAAAAATAAAACCACAAGTTTTCAGTCAGAAGGAAATACTAACATGCATCCAGCGATCATATTTTCATAATGCATTAATCAGTAGTGATGAAATTATTATTTCACAACAGCATTAGAAGCAATTTTAATTCTACAGCTTCTGTTAAAAATCTCTATTTTATCTCCAAAGAATAAAGATTAAGATAAAGGCGCACTGCCAAAAAAATCACAAGTATTTTTAATGAGCAGGAAGTAAGATAATTCCAGATGGCTGTTTAGAAAAAATTACCCTGTTTTTTGAATCTGTGCTAAACACTAACCCCTGTCAATTCAGAAAACGTAAGCTCTTGGTTACAGCCAAAATTTTGACAAAGAACAGCGTTTCCGTGACAGGTAGAAGCTACTGTGGTCTCCAGAATGCTGTGGTACCTCAGCTTTAATTTATAAACAAAGACTAAAAGAATCTTGCAGAATGCTGGCCTAAAACCCTAACTAATAGTAAGCAAATCTTCTCACTGTTCATTTGATGTCAAAATTACATAATTCTGACAAATTATTCTGTGACACGTATGGCATTATATCCTTAGCAACACTTCAAAAAATCAGCTTAATGGAGCTCTGATGTCATCTTCCAGGCAGATATATTGACTAGACATCCAAACAAATTCTTCTTAATTTTCTGTACTTCAGTGTGTGCCCCTCAATCCTGCAGCTGAAAAACTGAGAAAGATAAACACTGTTGAGAGTAACACCAGATTTAAAAGAGGTCTGAACAGACCAGACCTGCTGTGTCTACTAAGTTTTTCTATATGGTGTAACACATTTATCTCTCTGGGGCACAGAATGTTATATACTATAACACAGATCTAGTTTTTCCAAATGAAGACTGTCATTTGAAGTGTCCATATAGTTGATAAAGCCAAAAAACCCACAACTGAAACAAAACAAAACTAAACATGGGAAACTTATCCACTCTTCAGGCAACTACATCAAACTGGGTTAAAATAATTATTGTGTATGCATCCTGCCTCTTAACCTGTCACATCTTCTAAACGGTGAATATTAAAAGTAAGTCTCTCTCCAAAAGAATTGAAATTAACCCAGTTAAACCATCAAGAACAAAGTCTTATATGTGTCCATTTTTTGAACAGTTATTATTAATAACCATTTATTTTTACCTCTTACCTCGAGGTTGTAAACTGTTTGAAGTAAACATGACTTCCCTCTTCCTCTCTTGCACAGACCATCCCCAAGCAAATAATTTGTTTCCCTTTCACCCTGCTTTTAAAAAGCAAGGCTAACAAATAGAACTTGGGTTTGTTATTAAACACAGCGTAATTACTCAAAGTTAGAGCACTCAGGGACTCTCACAATAAAAAGGAAATACTCTAATATTAAATTAAACTATTAGAGAAGCACTGCCAATATCATATAAAGATTTTATCTTTGGAAAATAACATTCCTTCTAGAAGCACTACAATACCCAATCCAGTACTCAGATCAATACCACTGAGAAGCATTTGCTCCTGAAACCTGCAAACCTTGTGCACGGGAAGCCTTCAGAACACAGAAAGTATGAGATCACTCTGTCCAGAAATGCAGTAGGTTAACATAGTTTATAAATTACAAAGTTTACAAAGCTACTGAAACTAGAAGCAAAGGCGTTTACATTTAGTCACCTTTCAAAAACATTAACTTTCCAAAAACCCCAAATGTAACACATCCACAAGGAATTTTACTTCAACGACAGATTTCTTCACTAATACAGAAAGACTGCAATTTCATATACTTTTTAACTTGAATGTTTCTACAACAAATCAAAATAGCTTCCTTAAATCTTACAATGCCTGTAAAACAAGGCGAATATGAAAAGCCCATTTGCAAAAAAACTGGAAACAAAGTGAAAAATGTGAGTACTCCAACTCAAGAGACATTTTACAGGTTTGTCTCAGTTTACAGGGCAGTGTCTATGGAAAGATGTCCCAAGCAGATGGCAAATTCTTCCCTTTTCCACATTTCTAGTGTTCCTTAAACCCTTTAAATGGAAATATTCATATAGATGAAAAAATTAAAAAATTAAATTCCTTTAGAATAGCAGTTATTTTAAGAGAGATTTGCAAAAATCCTCAACTTTGGTACACTCTATATAATCCAAAGTTGGTATCTATCAACTTGAGTAAAATGCTTTTATTGGTTCTGGATGATCCAAGGAGTACAGTCTTCCCACATTTTCAGCTCTCCTTTGACACACTGTCTTCACATATGTTTTCTTGGGAACATCACATCCACTGCAGACTGATTTATGAGCAAACAAGAACCTTGAAAGGCTATGCTTCATTCTTTTCCAGAAGTAGAATTTTTCAGAAAGTTTACTATTCTTATTTTATATCATTTAGGATATAAAATAATACAACAAACATAAATCTTTCAATGAAATAGAAAGTGGGATTTGCCTTACCCATAACCAAAGGCTAGTCTCCAGCAGCCTTGAAAGATCATAGAATCATAGAATAGTTAGGGTTGGAAGGGACCTCAAACATCATCTAGTTCCAACCCCCCTGCCATGGGCAGGGACACCCTCCACTACACCAGGTTGCCCAAAGCCTCCTCCAACCTGGCCTTGAACACTGCCAGGGATGGGGCAGCCACAGCTTCTCTGGGCAACCTGTTCCAGTGCCTCACCACCCTCTGAGTGAAAAATTTCTTCCTTATAGCCAATCTAAATCTACCTTCTTTCAGTTTAAAGCCATTAATGGGTCTGACTTCACCAGAAGAGAGTATGCTTGGGTGTCACAACAACATGGAATAGAAAATCTGCAGCACTTCAGTACTTGGAAAAAATCTCAACAAAATTTAGAGTACTACCCATTTCTGGGATGTCTCCATCTCTTCACTTGGGACATCTGGAACGTTATCTAATTTTGAAAATGTTTTAAACTTTTTTCCTAGGTTTCTCTCTGCAGTGCTCTTCTATTTGTTACAGTTCAGTACAAAATCTATTTCAGATTTTGGGTGTAAGTTTTTATGTTTCTTTATGAGCAAGATCTTACAACATTTTCTTCAAGAGTATCAGCTTTGTTGTTCTAGCACTTTCAAGCATTCAATAACTTCCAAGCAAACTTCTTGAATATTCCAAACATTAAAGATAATAGACATAAACAAGCACCAGATAGAGACGTTACAACTTCAATTTCACAATGGAAAAAATTCCGTAATTTTTTACTCTATTCCAATGTGCAAGTCAATTTTCTCTGATTGTGTGCTGAACTGTGTTTTGCTGATGACAAGATGTTGAAATATGGTAACAGCATAAAGTCCAAGTAAAATAAACCAAACTTAATTCTCCCTTAACCCGCAAGACCTTTTCAAAGCAACACAAACTATTGCTTCAAAAGCAATGTACATTTTTCTCCTTTCAGAACAACCATGTTTTTTCTCATTTTTCCGGCAGTATCAGCATTTTTAAATAGGGACTTAAGACAGGAAAAAAATATACTCTGCATAAGTTTTCTTTGGAGAAAGTAAAAAGAAATCTGAATACACCTAAAGTAGTTGCCTTGCTTCTTCCCAGTATTCACTAATCACTTCCAAAGGAACCTAACTGGTCTGTCCTCCCTTCCTAGATTTCTAAGAAAATAAATGTTGTGTTTTTAACACACAGAAATCACATATACTTTTAGAATGGTATTGTGTTACTTAACCATAAATCAGTTTGCTCACTTGATAACACACACTTAGATGAACTCTCTTCTCTGTCAACAAGTAACTCAGCAGAAACATGTAGTGATTAGATACCAAAATCACACTGCAGTACTAGCTATTTAGTCACTTCGTAGACAAAGAGATTCTTACCCAATTTTCTTTTTTCAGAGGCAAAAAGTAGTAGTAGTGGCAGAAATCAAGTATCAGCGTGTAGGAACTAAGGATCTGACTGTAGAAGCACAGCTGTAAAAACAGCCAATGATTGTCTTCACCAACACAATTATTAATCCTACAGAGAAATAAAATATATATAAAGACAGAAATACAGACACTTTAAATCTGCAGTTACAATACTGTGAATATGAAAATTTGTAATTACTTATGGAGGAAATATAAGAACTACTGACCACTTCATTCTTAATCAAAGTGATGGACTCTGTGTTAGAGATGGCAGTTACTGTAAGCAGTAGTTTCCTTACATTGCCACTTAAAGTGTAGGCTGCATTACTGAGATCACTGCTTAGAACAGGAGACATACTTCTCTGTATCTTCATACAGCAAAGACAGTCCCACAATTTTAAGTAATACTCAAGTTACCAAATTATTTTTTTAAAGTCTGCAAAATTTCACAGTAATATGTATTATCTTCTGCTGCTCAATGCATTTCACTGATTGTGAACTATGTAGAGTCCAAAAAGTGGAACTGCAAATGAGTGGTTTTAAATAAATGTGATCGCAGTGTAGCCCAATGACAAATAGGAATGATTCCCAATGACTTAGGAAGGAGCCTAACACACAGAAGACAGAACAGGCATCTCTATTCAGAAACTCCTTCTGCGTACTCCAACATAAAGGAGTAAAGGAGTCACAAGGATTCTAGAATATGTATCAAGAACAAGAGTAAAAACCTTTGAAATCTAGGTCTAATCCGCCTCATAGAATTTACATTGATGCAAAAATGTGGCCGGGGTGCAATTTCCTACAAGCATTGACACACACATCGGGGCCAAGCTAAGCCATAATGACAAAAGCACTATACTGGCACTATTTTCTGAAGCAGCGACTGACAAAAAGGGCAGTTTTAAAAATGGCTAAATCAACACAGGATGATCCCGATGTCAGTTCTGTCCTCTGCAGTTCATCATTGCTGTCTTGCTAGAAATTATACCTCACAACTACTGACAGCAATGTTTATTTTCATTTTAAGCTACAAACAATCAGTTTAAATGGAGGATTTTAGCCACTTCAGTTCACTTTGACTGAAACTACTTAGAGAACACTAAAATAAGCAATTTCACTACAAAATCAGAGATGATATGACAAGTGGGGCATAGTGTGAGTCAGTAACATTTTCCGCTTAGTGCAGCCACTCAGTAAACTAAAAACCCAAAACTGTCTAAAACCATGATCTACTTTTATTATTATAAAGAGCACCCCATCCTATGTTGAAATTGTAATCTTTTATTTCAGTCCAAGAAACATAAATATTGTTTAGTTTCCCCACGAAAAATATTTTTCACAGCATCACAAACCAAACTGCAACAAATGAAATAAATCTGCTATGTATAAATTATGTTCTGATCAGTTTTAGGAGTAAAAATCCAATTTTTTAAACAAAATGCGTGAATTTTCAAAAAATATGTGGCATGTAACAATCTGACAGCGATCAAACATTAGGCTGCAACAGTTCTTACCGTCAGTTTTACTTGTAGATATAAGAAAGTCTGAAAGCTGTTCTTTCCCTGCTCTAAACACCTAAATGATTAAGCCCTACTGGGAAAGAAGTATGACAAATGAGCAACTGTCAGACTATAACTTTGAAATGATTCACTAAAACAACAGTGGACTGTCAGAACAAACTTCCTGGTCTTACCAGGGACAGTGATGATCCATCCTCCTCACACAATGTCCACAGCGACTGCAATGGTGCGAACGCTTAGGTCTCATCATATTGCATTTGTTACATAACTCCCAATATTCTCGTTCTAGGTGGAAACACAAAGTCAGATTAGAGAAATTTAAACTCAGTACAGCACACTCCTGATAAATTTATACGTTAGTGATTCAAGGAGAAAAAAGAAATCTTACTATGATCTGAGAAGGGTTAGCAGCACATTAAAAAACTTTTTTTCCACTGTCACCTTAATTAAACTGGAAGATATTATTGCTGCTCTGTGCCAGTTTTCTTCTCCAAAATCCTCTCTCCTTGTATATATATTTCTAGGAAGTAATTATTACAGCACAAAAGCTGCCACATAATTCAATTATTTTCTTACACATCTACTGTGAAAAAATGTATCTGCTAGACAGAACCATCGTACAGTCCTCCTGCCATTCCAAAACCTCCCGAGAAAACAGTGCTACTTGAATTTGTCAAAGCTAGCTAACTGAAATGAAATAAACAATGACTACTTCAGGAGCATGTTCCATCTCAAAGCATTCTAAGACATGCATCTCACAACACTCAATTTTACATATAAGGCAATCAAAGAACAGATAGAGGATAGGCTTGTATGTAAAAATATACGCTATTTCTGGATGCCCAATGTGAGATTCTTTAAGCTGATTTCCAGAGATACTGAGCAGCTGAAACTACCAGAAGCTACTATTGCTCAGCTTAGCTATTATTTATCTCAAATTGCACCACCCAGATTAGAGGAAGCCTTTGAAAAAGAGAATTCAAACGATATATTGAATCGTAGGCCCCTCTGAAGGGGGGCCTACAGGAAATCTGGAGAGGGACTTTTTATAAGGGCGTGTAGTGATAGGACAAGGGGCAATGGCTTTTAACTGAAAGAGGGCAGATTTAGATTGGATATAAGGAAGAAATTTTTCACTCTGAGGGTGGTGAGGCACTGGAACAGGTTGCCCAGAGAAGTTGTGGCTGCCCCATCCCTGGCAGTGTTCAAGGCCAGGTTGGAGGAGGCTTTGGGCAACCTGGTGTAGTGGAGGGTGTCCCTGCCCATGGCAGGGGGGGTGGAACTGGATGATCTTTGAGGTCCCTTCCAACCCAAAGCATTCTGTGATTCTATGATATTCAGAAAGTTCCCCTTCACATGGGAAACAAATCACACCAACACTGTAATACTTCCATTCACAAAAGCATGTATTTTCTGTCTTTGAGGAAAACAGATGCATGACTGAGAATCTTACATACTTTGACTGTTTGTTTCTACCTAAATATAACTTTTCTGATGCAGAGAAATTTCTTAAAACCCTGTGGAAAAAAAAAAACCAACAAACCTTAGTTTTTACAGTAGGGCATTCTGAAATTTTATATAGTAAAGCATTGTCCCTATGTAAACAAAATAAAAAATTTAGCACTTCTGAGCCACCTGCTGGCAGCTCTAATCTTGTCTTTCTTGCTGCAAAATAACATTTGGACACTGGAACTGAACAAGCCAAATATATGAGATTATTAAACTAGTAACAATGCCAGGGGGAAACTGAATCATAGTTTGTTCCCAGTGTCACAGAGGTGTCACTCCCTAATAGGGTAGCTACCAGCAGAGTTTGGAAACACCCCAACCTCATTTTTCAATACAATTAATACCGTGCAAAAATGTAAAAGAACTGAAGTGCTATTTTAGAAAGTACAAAATTCCCGATCTAGCACACACAAAATCACAATATCATTGCCACAGCGAAGCCTAAGTGTTCCATCTTCAGAAGTACCTATAAAGTATCATTGCTGTATGAAATGAATGGAGCATGAAGAGGTTCGACAGCTATTCAAAAAGATCCCTTAAAATAAAAAAAAACCACCTGTGCACAAAACGAATTTGTACTAGTCCTGGTATTTTGCACGTAAATGAACGTTCAGTCATAAATGTAATTTTCTGTAACTGTACTGAGTCATTATTCTCCAGCTCGGGTTGCAGCATCCATGTTGTTATTCCCACAGCAAGAACTCTGACTGCAGAACTAAGTTAAACTGACTTACTAGATCAAAGGCTCAGTTACCAGGAACAGAAAGAACACTGACATGAGATCTGCTATCAGTGTTTCACATCTGAATCCCAGGGAGATACATCCCTTCCTGCGACCTGCTGCCTAGTTTGTGCACACTGTTAACATCAGTGCTGAGGCTGAACAGATCGTATGTCCAAGCGCATCATCCTAGATTCTCACTAACATCAGGAAAAGAGAGCAAACTGTCAATCCTGGCATCCACCACTTTGCAAGACAAGACTGAAATATTCGCCCCTCACTTCATTTGGTACATTTTCTACATTCCAAAAGTACTTTCTGTCAATGTGACAAAGCTCATGTTGTTTAATAGCCTTACTCCATTCTAAACTGCTATATAAGAGCCTTCTGCATTAGACAAGCACCTTAGAATAACATCATAGAATCATAGAACAGTTTGGGTTGGAAGGGACCTCAAAGATCATCTAGTTCCAACCCCCCTGCCATGGGCAGGGACACCTTCCACTGCACCAGGTTGCCCAAAGCCTCATCCAGCCTGGCCTTGAACACTTCCAGGGATGGGGCATCTATCAGTTTATAAAAATACCAGCTTTCTCTGTGGAGAATTATTAAGGTTTCAAATTTCCTCCATCTTCTGGAGCATCGGATACTATACAGGAATTGTGGGATAAATTCACATGGACAGAAGGGAATTGTCAACATCTTAAGTTGCTACTCTACAGCAACACAATGTAATTAGTATCACATTTGTTTGGTTAACAGCCCATACAAACTTAAGTGACCAAAAACCAAACTGTACAAAATGCATAGGCAAAATCCAGTGTAAGAGTACCTTCCACCACCGTTCTCATCATCTTATAAACTTACTCAGAAAAAAGGTGTGGAATTATAATGACTAATCACCTCTAAACATTTTTTTTATTAAATATTATCAAGTTACTTATATGCAGTATGTTTGAAAGGCTGGCTAGAACACAAAAAAAAAAAATCCTTCCCATGGAAAAATTTCCTAGCAGAAGTTCCTACATAACTAAACTTCTGATGGAATACAAGTTTTGAAAAAGAAATTTTTAGTCTACACAAGAGAAAGTTCTAGAAATATACAAGTTGAAAACTGATGTACCAATTTTAATTTCATTAACAATATAGGCTTCAGCAGAGACAGTTCATGGTTTCCACCAAATCTCAAAAAATCAAATTGATTCCTAATTGTTTTGAGGACATTAAAATAACTTTTACTCAATTATACGGAAACAATTTAATGTACCTGTAATTGGTATGGTTGGGTTTTCAGGTAGCTTTCCTGGATCAGCTACTGAAGCTCTTAGTAAAGAAGCTATACAAAACAATGAGCAGAAGTAATAACCTGAAAAAGCAAATAAGCATTTCTTGGACCTTTTCAGGAGCACAAAATATCTACTATACGCTGCATCAAAAATACAGATGCTCCAGCACTGAGCTGGAAATTACTCTGCCTTTTCACTCAATCCCAGATATATTTTTGTATTATACAACCCACAGTATTAAGAATTCCCCAGTCTTAAAAACAGGGAGGAAAAGGTAGCAGTGAGCACTGTTATGATAGCACCAGCTGGATGTCACTATGACCTTACTCCTGTATTTAAGAAGTTCCTCCAATGTCTTATCAAATAAGAACCAGTCATTCTACACCTCAAAGCTTCTATGGGAAAGGACAATTCCCGATGGTCCATCTACACTTTAAAAGCCTTTTCCCCTGCAAAACCTATTAGCATAACTCATATTAGCGGACCCATCAAGGGATACACGACAAAACTAACAAGACTCAGTTTGTGAACCATCAGGACTACCATCCCAAATTCTGACAAGCACTAAGAGTTGTGGGTCTGAAATTCTGTCAACGAGTTCTAGCTACAAGATCTGAAAGCCATATTAATGCTTTTGCTGAGTTTCCACGCAAATTTTACCTAATGTCTTTGAAATGAATGAAGTGTCTCAACTTCTCAGAATACAAAAATGTAGGATGCGTCCCAGTACTCTTATCCTTCAACTCATTCTTTATTTTCTGACTTTTCTCTTACATGCTAACTACTGCCCAAAGATACTATTTTTACTAGTAGAAAAAAAGGCTAAGTTAAATTGACTTACACAGAACTGTCACAACTGAAATATGTCCCTCTTCATAGTGAGGGAAAAGGATGACTTTCGGAATGAAGATTGTGTTGTACAGCCAGACAAAGATAATCAGACCCATGCAGCACCAACCCTGAGGGTCAACCACGAAGTGAATTCGTCGTCCCATTGAACACAAACAGGTAATAATCTGCCACGGCCCAGGAAGAAAAGATTATCCTAGAGAGATAATTAAAAAAAAAAAAAAAAAAGAAATTAGTATATTAACTAGTGTCATGCAAGCTACAGGGTTCCACATACATTCAAATAGAAAAAAAAAAAAGTCAGCTATTGATTTAAGGAATTAAATGAAAACTTACAGACATTTCACACACTATTCAAATACCAAGTAGAGAAATATTTTATGGTTTCATTAACTAGTTACATCTCACTAAAAAGTAACATTTATCATCAAGATGCAAATAAAACAAGTACCTGGGAAAACTATTAAGTGATAGGTAAAGCAAGCAACTGTCAGTCAGCTGGCAGCAGCAAAGGATATAAACACTAAAGAACTCTGTCATCGAAATAAAAAGGCTGCAAAACAAACAAGAAATACATGAAGTTATTTACGTTATACAAGGATTCATCCCACCTACCTACTGTAGTCTCCCAACTATATTTCAAAATTATTTTTTAAAAGCTTCTATGCTAAAATTTTCACAAGCTTCCCTAGAAATGTTTAATTTTTCCCTGCTTAAAAAAACTCCTTCATGCCATTTATGCCAAACTAATAGAGAAAGGAACCACACTACTCTAACGTATTTCTTGTAGATGATTAAGAGTTATCATACAACAGTAAGTTTTCTCACTGTTAATCACACTTAAAACATCAAGGTTTCCATTCTGATAGTTTAGTGTGCTGGGTTCTTTTTTGGTTTAGACTGAAGAAACCCCACCAAATCCTACTGTATGAACTTCAGAGCTTCATAAGCTGATCTTCATAAAACAACCACACTAGAAGTCATAAGCACTATTCAGCTGAACCTTCAAGGGAAGGACTCCTACTGTTAATGTCTTTGTCAGGCTGCCTTCACAGAAGTACCTTAATATTGCAACACACACAAACCCCAAGCTACTCTCCTACCCATTAGTTTCCCTGATTTCTGAGCTTCTGAGAACTTGTCTATTTCAGATGGATTTCAAAGAATCGTAGAATGGTTAAGGTTGGAAGGGACCTCAAACATCATCTAATCCCACCCCCCCTGCCATAGGCAGGGACACTCTCCACTACACCAGGTTGCCCAAAGTCTCATCCAACCTAGCCTTGAACACTTCCAGGGATAGGACAGACACAACTTCTCTGGGCAACCTGTTCCAGTGCCTCACCACCCTCTGAGTGAAAAATTTCTTCCTTAGATCTGATCTAAATCTGCCCGCTTTCAGTTTAAAGCCATTGCCCCTTGTCCTATCACTACACACCCTTGTAAAAAGTCCCTCTCCAGCTTTCCTGTAGGCCCCCTTTAAGTACTGGAAAGCTGCTATAAGATCACCCCGGAGCCTTCTCTTCTCCAGGCTGAACAGCCCCAACTCTCTCAGCCTGTCTCCATAGCAGAGGTGTTCCAGCCCTCGGATCATCTTCGTGGCCTTCTCTGGACTTGCTCCAGCAGCTCCATGTCCTTCTTGTGTTGGGGACTTCAGAGCTGAACACAGTATTCCAGGTGGGGTCTCATGAGAGCAGAGCAGAGGGGCAGAATCCCCTCCCTCGACCTGCTGGCCACGCTGCTTTGGATGCAGCCCAGGACATGGTTGGCTTTCTGGGCTGCCAGTGCACATTGCCGGCTCATGGTGAGCTTCTCAGCCACTAGCACTCCCAAGTCCTTCTCCTCGGGGCTGCTCTCAATGCATTTCCTTCCATTCCTTTCAGCTTCTACCTGTTGCACTGAAATTTCACCTTGTTTATCAGTCTGTTGTGGTTTAACTCCAGCCAGTAACCAAACACCACACAGCTGCTCACTCAAACTCCTCTGTCCCCAGAGAAATGGGGGAGAGAATTGAAGGAGTAACAGGAAGGAGATTCAAAGGGTTGAGATAAGAACAATAACTGAAATAAAATAAAAGTAATAATGATGAAAAGAATAATAAAAATAGCAACAGAATATAAAAACGAGTGATGCACAGCTCAGTTGCTCACACCAGCTGACCAATGCCTAGCCTGTCCCTGCCTAGCAATCCCGAAGAAGAGAAATCCTGAAACTGCAATCCCAGAAGAGAGCGAGCCTCCCAGCCAACCCTCATTCATATACTGAGCATGACCTTGCATGATATGGAATATTCCATTGGCCAACTTGGGCCTCAATCCTAAACTAAGCTCAAATCCTAAACCAGGAATTTTGGGTCCATTGCTCCGGCCATGCTCACTCCCAGCTTGTTGTGCACCTGCACACTGGTAAAACATGGGAAGTTGAAAAGTCCTTGATGTCTTAGCAACAACTACAAACATCAGTATATTATCAACGTTCTTCTCATACCAAACCCCATACTAAAAGCAAAACACAGCACTGTTCTAGCTGCTAAGAAAATTAACTCTATCACAGCTGAAACCAGGACACAGTCAGACATGTCTGTTTCCAGGAGGTTTGCTTACTTGTTTCATGCTTGCCTATCCTCACTTGCCTTCACAATTTCTTTGCTTAATATTATCCACAAATTTCATTAATGGCTTGTTTTCTTCTTTTTCTGGATTTCTAAGCAAAATCAGACCCAAACAAGCTATCTGACATTTTTTCACACTTCTACACACTATCACAACCCTTCATTTGCTGTCTTCTAGTGCAACAGTGTTCCCTTTCAAGTACAGCACAGTATTAAGTGCTTATTTTTATCTTAAAAATGTATCCAATTTGCTAATGCTTGTTTTATAAACCCATTTTGCATACTGAATGCAGCTGCTGTGCCCTTGAAACTGTTTTTAATTTCATGATAACCATAAAAACTATTCAGGGCTATATTTACTATTCTTTTTTAATTTTGCTGTATGTAGCACGCATGCACCAGAGTCTGTTGTATACATGGTATTAATACACTACACATGTATGGACAGTCTTTAGACATATAAATGATGTATGTAATATCATACTCATGAATCTGCCAGTTCTTCATGTGCCTCTGTTATAAGTTAGCTTTGACAACCAGCAGGTTTAGAATTAAAAAACATTTCCTAAGTATGCACTGACGGAGGATCTGTCTCATCAAGAAGCTGTGGGAGGAGGTGAGCAGACTGTCAGGGATGCTGCAAAGGAGATGGACCAGGTCCCCTCCAAGACCTTGAAGCTACAGGATACCCCATTACACCGCGGAGATCCAGGCAGAGCCTTAGCTTTCCAGGCTAGGCATGGAGATGCTGAGTGAAGCCTGGGAGCTTGTGAGCTCCAGCACCAGGAAGACGGTTCCTGCTCCACTTGCAGCTCTGATTTATGGAGAAGGTTCTGAGCCCTGGCAGCAGGCAAAGACCAAAGAGCTCTGTGCAATGAAGCCTCTGAGCTGGCAGCGCCTGAGTCCTGTGGCAATGTGGGCAGGATGGGGCAAGGAACAGTGGTGGGAAACTCCCCGCTGCAGGGACAGAGGCACCTCTTGCCAGCCCAACCTGTCCCCTGACAAGGCTTGCTGTTTGCCAGGGGCTTGAGTTCTGGATACCACAGACAGGCTATTACTGAGCCTGGTAGTAGTCTGGCCCTCAGCTGCTCTTCCATATGGGCACCACAGATATACCACCACAGATATACCACACCACATATACATATATATATATACATACACACACACGTATATATATTTATATATGGGCACCAGGGAAGACCAGGAGCGTGACCATCGAGCATGACTACATGGCTTGGAGTACGAGGACCAGCACCTGAGGATCAGGTGATGTCTCCTTCATCCTGCCAGTGAAGGGGAAGGACTTGAGGAGGAGCAGACAGATCCCGCAGGCCAACAAGTGGCTGTGCAGCTTGTGTCAAAAGCCAGAACTCAGCTTTTACATCCACAGGACCTTCTCTGAGGATAAAGAACTGCGGGGCGGGTAGCGATGATCCACCTGACACTATGTAGGGTAAAAGCATCTTTGCCAAGAGGCTGATTAATCTGCTATACTAAAGGAAGACTTAAACTAGGAATGATGGGAGAAGGAGGTGGTAACCTGCCATCGAGTGAGGAAGTGGTGGTCAGGGTTTGCAGACAAAGGCTGAAAGATGATGTGGACAATAGAGACGTTATAATCAAAAAAAAGGAGGTGAAGTGGGGCTACATCAAGTGTGTGCGCACACTTCATAAAGAAACACCACTTGGTTGTACTGGGATGGGGTTAGGAAAGCCAAAGTTCACCTGGAGATGAATCTGGTGAGGGATATGAAGGTGAAAAGGAAAGCCTTGCATAGGTACATGAGCAACAAGGGTAAGGGAAATGTGGGTCTGTTGCTGAACGGGGCATGATACCCGTTGAAAAGACACGAAGAAGGTCAAAATGCCTTCTTCACCTTGCTCTTTACAGGTAAGATGTGCTTTCTGGAACACCAGGCCCCCGAAATCATTGGGAAAGTCTGGAGCAAGAAAGACTTACTCTAAGTGAGGGAGGATCACATTAAGAAACCTTTAAACAAAGTGGCCATAACACTTCCATGAGACCAGATAAGATGTCAACCATGAGTGCTGACAGAGCTGCCCCTGTCATTGTGAGGCCACTTTCCATTATACTTGAAAGTTTTAAGCTGATGGGCAAGGTTCCAGAGCACTCAAGGAAGCAAGTGTCAACCCTGTTTCCAAGGGCAAGAAGGAGGATCCAGGCAACAACAGGTCTGATAGCCTCACCATGATCCCCGGGGAGGTGGAGTAAATAATCCTGGAAACTGTTTCCACACACCTGAAGGACAAGAAGGTGATGGGGGCAGTCAGCATGGATTTACGAATGGGAAATCATGCAGACTGACAGAAACACAGAGGCAAAAAAAACCAGTGGCAGCTAGAAACAGTGCTGACCGCTGAGGAATCCATCTGTTTTCCATCTTACCAGAGCAGCAGAGATTCCATGACTTCACAGCGCTTCCTCAGAAGGGGAAATAACAGCTCAACAAACAAAACAGAAATAAATAAGTACTGAAATACTTGTTTCTGAGTGACCTACTAAGTATAATGTGTGAGCAATAACCAGCAAGACAGATTCTAGAGAAAACACTAAG